GATGTCTCTCTGGAGACTAAGGTGCGTCTGATACAGGCCATGGTCTTTGCAATCACTTGTTATGCATCAGAGAGTTGGACAATGACTAAGGAGGATAGAAGGAGAATTGATGTTGAGCTGTGGTGCTGGAGACAGTATTGAATGTACCATGGACTGCCAAGAAAACAAACAGATTCATCCTGGAGAGGGTTAAACCAGACTGCTCCTTAGAGGCAAGGATTCTGGGTCTTCGTCTAACATACTTTGGACATGTTGTAAGGAGGGACAGGTCCTTGGAGAGGGACATCATGCTTGGGAGTGTGGAGGGACAGTGCAAGAGGGGAAGACCTTCTGTGATGTGGATTGATTCAGTGGCTGGGGTAATCGGGATGGGTGTGTCAGAGGCAGAGTTTAGGGCTGTTGTACATAGGGTCGCTATGAGTCACAAGCTACTGGATGGCACAACAACAACAACAGCAATCGGCATAAAAATATGACAAAGTGCTTCTGAGATGATACCAAAAGAGAGAGACTAATTAGATTTGAATTTTCAGTTATATTACTTATGTTTCAATTAATTGACATTTGGTGCATTTACTCGCTAGAAAAGGTCATAATCTAGATATGCAGTACATGCACATACATAAGTGACAAAAACCAGTATGATCTCATTTTTCCAAGAAACAAGTTCAAGAAAAACTTTTGGAGGAGAAAAAGATGACTGGAATGTTGATAGTTATTTCTTTTATGATTATGGATGATTTCTTGGTTTATAGGTTTTTGCATTTTCTGTTTGTGAGTGGAAAGATATCAAACCCAAATAAGTATGGAAAGCTACTTTTTATTGCTGCTGCATCTAAATAGCCTACATTTACCAAGTGCTTATTGTATTCTAGTAATTCTGACTGAGTACTTCATTTATAAAATCCTTTAATCTTCTCAGCAACTGGATAGGGTCAGTCCTATCATCTCTGTTTGAGAAATGGAAAAACCAAGGGCAGAGGGATTAAATACTTCCTTCCTCAAGGCCATTAAGTTACAGGTCAAGATCTCAAAGAGATCTCTAAATCAGACCTAGTTTTCCTCTAGAGATTTTGCCTGTACAACCAGAGCCCAAAAGAGCAATTTCTGCACAAGAAGCAGCTATTTTCTCTCTGCAATTAAAATAGTAAATTTCAAAATGCACTTGGATTAACATTTTACACTAGTACTTACCATGAGAGGGAGCTCTGGTGGTGTAGTCCATGGGGAGTTGTCCTGCGATCCCAAACGTCAAGCCTCTCTGGCAGTTCAAGTCTACCCATAGCTTCTCAGGAGAAAGATGAGCAGTCTCTTCTTGTGCAATTTCCAGCATCCAAACACTCACTGGAGGGTTAGTTAAGAGTCAGTTCTAGGTTTGTGGCAATGACTAATGTAGAAAAGTTAATAGTTTGTAGCCTGAGTTCCTGTTCTTAGATATACCTGATAGCTGGTATGTGCCATGCTATTGTTATTTTTGTGTACCATTGAGTTGGAACTGACTCATAACTGGCCCTTCAACTGGTTTTCAGAAGCAGTTAATCACATGGGAAGATATTTCCTATCCTTCTGCCACAGAACAGCTGATGGATTAGAATGGTGTGCGTTTGGGATTGCAGTGCAGTTTTTTACCACTAGACCACCAGAGCTCCCTAACATGTGTCATACATAATACTGCAGAAAACCAACCAGCTAAACCATAGTATCTCCATTAAGCTTCTGAAGCTGTAAGTCTTTACCAGAAGAGATTGCCCATCTTTTTCCCATGATGCAGCTGGTGGATTGAAACTGCCGACCTTTTCATTAGCTCTTTGACACTTTACCAGGGCTCCCTGTATGTTTGTGAGGTACGTGTCCTGAGTGAAGAGAGTGAGTATCTTTTATAAGGGCAAGTCTGCTGAGGAATAAACTGGAGAGCAGACATACTTTCCCTCTGCTACAGGACCCTGCCATTCCTGCAGCAACCAATTCCTAACTGGTTAGAAACTTATCCAACCCTAGCATTAAGCATACCCGATTCCAGAGAGGGACAAAGCTGGAGTCACCACATGCAACTCTGA